ACATAGTATAGTATAGTATATATCTGTGTGTGTGTGTTAACATTTTGCTTTTAATATTGTTTGCAGCAACTTCACTGGACTAAATCGACTTCAGATACCGGTACTTTCTTAATAAAGAACACTTACCTCACTATTGTGTCCTCTGAGGTTGAAGTTTACTCTCTGTGGACTGGGCCGGTCTCGTCTGCAGTGGCTGGATGTGAATGTGACTCCGACAACTCCTCGGCTGTTCCCTGTAGCGAGCCAGCCCTCCTCGTAATACCGCTTTCTGCACACCGGTTTCTCCTTCTCGCTTTTGGGTACCCGACCCTTCCAGGACAGGCACAGGATGTTGGAGTCGCTGCAGAGCACCGGGCCATGCTCCACAGCAGCAAACATACCTACGGCTTTCTACACTCCCTGAATTAAATTTAAAAAAAGTAATTAAGTAATTAAAAATATGGAGGGAGACTCTTTGCAGGAGTTTGAAAACCGTTACGAGCGTTTCTCCTCCAATGAGGTTAGCAGTTTAGTGTTGGATGTAAGACAGCTAAAACGGTGCATAGTACTACCTCTTGGCTATCACGGCTATCGATCGAAACCTCCCCAAAAGCRCAATAAGTTCACAAAACAGCAGACTTTAGCATCATTGGATTAATGGTGTCACTTAATCAAAAGGCACTCAAGTCATTGTGATGATCGGTGGTTTGTCTTGATGATGCAGTTTTAAGACAAGGCAGGGAAAATGTGAAGAGGAAATAGAAATTAGAAATCCTCGGTGGTAAATTCCAAACTCATTTTAGGAGACAAAACCCAAAACCAGCTTGTAAACTCAAAAAAACAGGCAATTCATGTGTACCAAACGGGGCTTCCAGTCGATCCGAGTAATATTTTTTTCTCCAAATCACCGTATCTTTTCGATGCTCTTTGTCCTCATTTATTCCCAGTAGTGTGTATGCAGAAAAGGAGGAGGAGAAGCAGCAAGGACTCCTGCCATCAGCTGTCAGCCCGCAGGGGAGACGCTTCTCCAGGGAACGCCGTGACATCAACTGGCCTGCCTTTTGCAGCAGCCTCGGGGGTTCCAACCAGGGCTGCTGGGTATTAAACAAAAATATATATATGTTAATATATACGTTAGCACACAAAAACTATAATTACCAGAGATACAACTGTGTATAGATAGGATTACAAAATGAAAACTTAAGTGGTCATGATGATATAAAGTAGTACATCCCTCATCTGCTACCCAAATACATTGATTTAAATATTAATTCACCTGCCTAAAATAGGTCCTTAACTCAGAAGCAGCCCAACCCTTATGCTGCTCAGCGGAAGTATGTTTAATTAGTGAATTATCTATTTTAGAAGAACAATGCATCATTTTAGCCTTTGTTTCATTGGGATAGGTGGGCGGACATTTACATAGACACGAACAAAAGGTAAATAAAGTAAGCAGGAACCGAAAAGCTAAATTGTAATAAGGAATAAGGAAGCTTAACAAGATACAAGGACACTTATTTAAGAAGTGACACCCAGAGAACAACTGCTATCTGAGAATATAAATCGACATTCTTGTCTGGTTAAATCAATACCAGAAAAACACTGACTTATTATCCACAGCAATGCAGCTAAGCCTAAATTAGCATCTCATACAGCGACCTAAGAGGAGCCACAATAACAAGAAGACACAAGTGGCACTGACTCTAAAGACAACAAAAACAATCTCTACTGTAGCTTTGGACATTATGTGAAAACATCCATCACCATTTCTACTACAAGATGCCTGCTAGCTACAGTTAGCCGTGATGCTGGATCAAACCAGTGGCTCCGAACATCTTCAGCAGCGGCATCATTATAATTGTATTTATATATATTTTTTTTATAATCGTATCTTCTCTGCGCTGTAACGTTAATTTACCCAGGAAAACAGTCACCACATGTATGTATCGAGGGGAGTGATATCAGCTAGAAGAGCCGACCCTCCAGCTCCATCAACGGAGACACTCTCCGTCCAGCCGCCGCTGTTTGTTGCTGTCGCTAACACGGCTAGCACTAGCTTACGGTTCGTCCTGATGTTTATTCAGCATAAAAGTGTACCTATTCGAAAATAACAACAGGTGAGCGACGCATACGATAAAAGCGTAAAAATAAAACCCGGCTTGGCATCAACGAACCGGAGGAGAGCTCCTACCTCGGCTCAGTCTGTGGAGTGTTGCCGCTTTCTCTGTGCCCAGCCTGGAGCCTGGAGCCACTGACTGTACAACACTGGCCCCTCCCCGACAGCTGTGCCACGTGATGGGCACGTGACTCAGGCGGATTGAATTATTTATATCAACATCTACAGCGGTTTAACTTTGATCTTTCACGTGTGGATAAAAATACAAACAAGGCACGCTTTCAGTCGCTCCCGCCTCTCTTCTGTCGAACTTACAGGAAAAACAAAGAAATTATATATATA